CTGTGGACGACGAAGCTCAGGGCGGCAGAAGCAACGGAAAGTTTGCCTGACGATAACGGAACAGGTGCTCTGGGCAAATGAACGAACAAAGGCGGCGGCGCTAGAAATAGTGCGAGAAACAAGAATCGTTACTTAGGTCTACCTGCGTTTGAAAACTCAAACGTGTTTGGTGTAATGTTACGACGTCAGGTTATGCGAGTTCATGACCTTGTTAAGTCATGCGTTTTTTTTCAGTTTTGCAGTATACAATATAGTTTCTCATTTAATTTCCAGGGCACACCCGTTGGAGTCCATAGGATCCATAAACAATTACCGCTTTTGTCGGCTGCAATAGGGAAATTTGTTAGCAGATGTCAGAACCTTCGTCGAGAATCCGAGGATGAAGCAAGTGGGCACCATCGTTGACAAAACTTCGCAGTTGAACGGTTCCGAACGCGAATTTGTTTACGTAGTATATTCCAATGAAAACGCCAGCAGTGACTGTTGGTTGGCGTGGGCACGACCATGTGTCGCAAAGGTCTACACACATTGAATGAGGACACAAGGGATACCAACACGTTTCGGATCATGGACCTTCTTTATAAACACGAACAACTTAATTCCATGAGCATTCTCTGTGAAGACATCGTCTTTTAAGTAAATAGAATAATTGCGTGAGTACAATCGTATTTACGAAGCTACGAAGTTTACCAACACTCGTTTCAGAAGCAGAAAAATTTAAGTCAAGAAGCACACGCTCTCCTTTGCTTTTTACTGAATTTTCATATTTATCGGAAACGAATGCAAAATATATCTTAGATAAAATATATTATGAAAGTGTTTAAATAAATTTATAATCATAACTTGAAAATCTTCAAAAAGGATAAGTCTTTATTTTGCGTCTTAGTTTACAAACCTCTTCTACCGATGAAGAAATTTTCGAAAGGAAACATAATTATGTCAGTGATGAAACACCTTCACCATTGTGAAATTTGCTGTCGCAACATTTCAACATGAACCTTCTCGCTTCTTTGAATTGTTAGTCGAATATTCAGACAGCAGAAAATATTGAAACTGTTGAAAGTTTACATTCGGCAGGGCTTCTAGAGCTGTCAGTACTCCAGATTCAGTCACGGAATCGGTACAGAACTGAATCACATTTTCATCACTTTGTATTATTCCAAAGCAAATCATTTGGATCATGGTTGTTATGTCTTTCGGCTGACTAAATTTTTATTCTAGAGCTTTTTATTGCAACGTGAAATCGATTAAGCATTCACCGCCCTTCACAACCGTTTGTTTTTAGGTGTAGCGATAACAATTAATCGACTAATACCTATTTTAGATCAATTACGCATTAACAAAATAGGATACGGAAAGCCGCGGTATGCGAGAAATCGAGGTCTGGGATTTCGTGGCCTGTCGGAAGGGTGGTGGGGAGAAGGTTCCGGATTCTCTTAACGCAGATCGCTCTCTGCGCCTGCGGCAACGGTGGCGGCGGCGGCGGCGGGCACAGTGGCCTCCAAAGGCCGCGGCGATTGCCAGGCCGTTGACCCCACCAGCTGACTACGCCGCTGCCGCCGCCGCCGCCGCACGTGGTCGCTCTCACAAACCCCAGACGGGTCGGGAAGAACTTCTTGTGCAGAGGCTCGCGGGTTGGCCCCGCGGCGTGACGAGGCAACGCGCGCGGACGGTTTTTTGGGCGAGGTGTTGCCGTCAGCTCTTTTTTAGGGCGAGGCGCTCTGGACACTCCGTGGATCAACTGTTTCTCGGAGGGCTCTCACGATCAACTTTCGTGAGCTTCTATGTGGCGATTTTTTTGTCGTTTTGGGGTCAGAACTGCTATAGGGGAGAAAAGAGGAAAGCATTGCATGTACTATTAAAATGGCTCCGGTGTCATCATAATTCTACTATGGTGTCAAAACTTGTTAGATATATCATTTTTACCTACACTGTGCAAATACAGAACAAATGAGTTGAAACAGCAGTGTTAAATTATTTGAAAATATGAACAGAAAATGTATTTGCAAGTACATATCGTTTTATTTCTTTATATTAGCAACTTCAAGCTCATCGAAGCGTACAACAGTAGAAAGCAACATCGGCCCTTTGCGCATCTGCAGTTCCAGTTGCGCATGCGCAGGTGCTCAAAAGTGCGAAAGGACCAAGGTATCACTGTAGAACGCTACGCACTATGCTGTGCTTAAAGCCCCATTATTTTATATTTATTTTATTTGCACTTTTAAGACATAAGTATGAACTAACCTGACACTAATGCTGCCTGACTTACAGGCAGCATTAGGGATAACGCTGTATTGTAGATAAAAGCTAAGCAGTCTGATTACGCTTTACTTTAAAACATATAAAACATCAAATATGATTACTCCTTCTGCAACAACCGCGTGTCACAGACCGCGACATTTATGACGTTGCTACCTTTGTCTCTGGGCTAGCACAAACCGCTTCAATCGGAAAGGGCAGTGCACAGGTGCAAATCCGACATTCCATTTGAAATGGGTCTCCATATGGAAATGGAATCCATATCCTGGTAGACATTCGTACTAAAAGAACCATAATTATCACTTTTCTACATTTTATTTGGGTACAATTACTATTAAGGAACAAAAATACATTTTGTTAAAAATCATCAAATTGAGACATTTTGATTTATAAAATTGTGTTTGGGTGTAAAATAAAAATGTCATATTTTCGAGTAATAATTATTCTAGTTTATGACAGTTTTGAAAACGCACGGAAATTCAACATTTATTGACAGTTGAAGGTGTAGTGGTACAACTTCACTTTTTAGACAAAAATAATTTTCTCCATTTTGAAGTCAGGGCAAGTACCGTATATTTATTCTGAACGTGTTACATGTCGTTTCTGAAGCCGACAGAGCAAATTATTCATTTGGCGAATCACTGTTCGGTTTAACAACCCTTGAAAGCATAATAATTGAACTCTTTAAAAAAGTAATAGTCAATCATGTTTGAAATATTTCCAATTTCATTCAGAACTACTTAAAAACTACAGGTATTTGAAACAAAATTGAATATTTAATCTGTTGGCCTAAAATCGAAGAAACAATTGTATTAACAACATAATCTAATCTCCAAGAATGAAGGTTTTGGAGAGGTTGAGAAAGAGTTGAAAATTAGAATTAATCCGTACTTGTAACTTCACTTTGTTCTTTTTAAGCCAGAAACTAAAATAATATCGCTTTAGGGATCTTTTTATGTTTCGCTAAGTAGGCTATATTCTTTGTTATTCTTCAGAGAAACAAATGTATCTACAATAGTTTCTTATAAGAAAATAAAACTCGATGTTTTATGTCTAAGTCTCTCCCCAATTTTTTGAAACCACTTAACATTATGGCTCAAAATCTCAAATGAAGTGGCAATGGAGTTGCACCACTTTTAAAATACCGCCTTCAGTTGTAATGCACGGAAGAAACTTTAAACCTTAACTCAAAGCAAAACCGACAATATTTAATTGCACGCGTAAATTTGCACCAATGTTCTAAATTTAGGTATCAGCATTCTACTTTTTCACAATAAGTGAGAAGAGGAAGAGCTTATGAAAACTAATCTAGGTGGCAGGACGAATTATGGAGGTGAGGGAATGGGAGGGAAGGAGGGAATTAATGAGAGAGGGAGAGAATAATGGGGCGAATAGGAAAGAGTTTGAACGGAAAAGCGAGGGAGCAGAGAAGGGAACGGGACGCAAGGGAAACAAGAATTTGAAGGACGTCGATTAGGGCGACACGTATACCTTCTCGTCGACTTTCGTCGGAGAAGTTTCCTTCTTCCAGATTTATTTCCCGCCTCTAGGTATACAGCGCCTCTATCGGAACAAACTTACAGTTCCCAACTGGTCTTCCAACGAGTGTCATAGTGACAAGTAGGAACCAGAAGGAAGTCGGAAATATCGCGCCGGCCGCAGGCCATTTTGTTAAGGTGCTGCTCCGACATTCGCCTGGCACTGATCAGAGCAACCACGGAAAACATCAGGTCAGAGCAGCGAGCCGCCAGAATTCTGACAGCCTCCCGACAGTGCGACGAGGCTGTCGAGGCGCGAGGACGAGCGTCCAGGGAGCAGCGCCCAGGGCGAGTGGTGTGGTGGCAGAGAAACTTCGCTCGCAAGAAGAGCACTGTGTCACTGTCAGCTTTAATTTCTCTTACAACTTTACGGGCATTACTTCAAAGTAGTACGTCGCGAGAGGCGATGTGAGGAGAGTTCAGGACTGACAAGAGGAGGGGGGAAGGAACACGCGAGGGCAGCTATCTCAATCGTCGGGGCTAGGCACGAATTTGCGGTCATTTGGTTGGCTGCCTGTCTTTCTCGATTGTTTGACTGATGTTTCCGAGAACGACAACAGATGGGATCTTTAGTCCCGTGAATGTTTTATGTCAGGGAGTGGCGGTGTTCCTCTCCGGCTGGATGCGGGACCCGGCGCTGACCTACACGTTGGCTCGCGGGACATTCCCTCCTTCAGGTATCTCCCACAGTGGGGCATCGCCCTAGGCGGGATAAGCTGTAAGCTCCAGAATGGTGACGCTGTACGGAAGCGTAGTGTGTGTAAGTGTAATCATATGTGAATAACGCGAGTGGAAAGGACGAAAACACAGATCGCGCACAGTCAGAGGCCCGTTTGTATGGGTATTGCATTTCCCTGGTATTGATACGAGAAATTGCGGAAGAATACCGGTCAGAGCAGTCGACCGACAGAATTCTTCTCCAGACACCGGTTGAACTTGATCTATCTAACTTACGTCGAAAATCTGCCACCCTCGAGACTCAAACCCTAGAACGTTCCAGTCAGTGCCACTTCGTAAACAGAAGCAATACTGGCTCTGCGCTGACCTCAGCTGGTGTCTTTCTCGGAGCCTTCCCCTTTACATAAAGAAGTTCACCCCTGTGTTTGCACTGTGACCTTTTATACACACATTCTTTTATCTCTTTTGTGTATTTCACTTTGAGTTCCAGGCCTCACCTCTCGCCAATGTGCTGCCTCTTTCAGCTCAAAAAAGTCTGCTCCCTTTGTGGCACCCCGACGTGAGTACCGGAGCGCCGCCTTTTGTTCCCGCAACTCGAGTCTCACCCTTTAAAATCACTGGCTCCCGCCCTGCTCTCATACATTGACCGAGACTCGTCTTCGCCCCAGCTCCAAATCGAAGCTTGTGTCTCCACCCCCTCGAACGTTTGCCTGAACTCTCTGCACAGAACTCTCCGCTCACAGAACTTGCGATCTTTCCTTCATTTTCACGAATCCAACAGAATCCGGTAGCTCGAATCTCCTTAGTATTGTTGCCTTGTTCTCTCTCTTTCGCAATCCCTAGCACCTCCTCACCCCAGTTTCTGCCTTCTTCATTCGCCCCCTTACTCCCTTCTTTCTCTCCCTTATCCCTTTCACTCGCTCTCTTACGCTTTTCGTTCTCTCCCTTATCCTCTTCATTTGTTCCCTTACCCCCATCTTTTACTCCCTTTTCCCCTTCATTCGCAAATACTCGCCCGAAGTTTCCAGCCGTCTTCATATCGCCGTCATAGCCACCATTTGCCAGTTTTCGTCTCCAAATCTCTTTCTTGTCCGCTTCCTCTATTTTTTGTCGCGGGCGCCCACTCTCTTGGCGACTGCTCGGAGTCCAGGACCTCATAAATCGAGTGCCAACGATAAACTGCGACGTCCGCCCACCGTTCTCCATACAACGAAACAGAAGGAGGTTGAGCGTGCTTCTCAGAGAGACTGGAATAACAATGTAAGGAAGAGAAATGTGAGTGGAATGAAATTCATTGTGATAAATATGGTATTCAAAATTATATTAATCAAATATTCTTTTCCTCTTTCACACAAAAATATCCGCAAAAATACTAAATTTTTTTCCATTTAATGTTTCTCAAGGAGGTATGTTTTTTTCCCATACAATATGTTCTTATTAATTCTGAATATTGCTCTCACATAAAAATGTAACTTTGTATATAAACTACAAATATTTGTTTGTCATTTATCTTGTCAATGTTCTCCATTTATATTGCTGCAAATGCTTTTACAATGATCCAACGCTGTCACTTTTATTTTTATATCATTTCGAATTAAAATTGTTTGTTTCTCTTCAACTTAATACCCTTCAATCACCGTAATATCATTCCATCCCACTCTGATATATTTTTGAAAATAAATATCAAGAATTTGCGGAGTATATTACAGAAAAGTCATACTAGTCTCAAGATCTCTCTGCGTCTAAAGTACGCGAAAAATTGTGTGTGGATATGCATGCAAATATTATGCACAAAACTAACTTCAACACAAATTCATATAATACATAAACAAACTACACACTGAAGTTAGCACCGCAAGTGCCGAATAAAGTGAACTATCTCGCGATATATAATAGTAAAGAAAGTAAACTACCTTTACCAGTAGAATGTTATCTCCTGTTTGTAGACTTTATTATTTCTGATTCTCACCTTAACGACGAAGATAGAGCAGTGGAGTCATTTTGTTTTGCCTCGTACAGCATCCTTGCACCAGAATGGCGAAACTGTCCATACAATGAATTTTCACTCACAATATCAAAACCGAAAGAAAAAAATAATAAAATAGAATCCAAAACATAAATATTCTCAATGAACTACCGTCACCATGGATCCAACTTCACATATGGAGTAATAACAAATACTTTCAATTTTGAGATTAATATTTTTGCGGCAGATTATATAGTTTCTTTGGTTTGACATAAGGAGACAAGTGAATGTGTTGGAAAATTAGCTCATGTTAAGTGTTTCTTTAGCGTTACGTAGTTAGAGGGTTGCATGGGAACAGTTTTGTAAACAAACACACATGGCCATCTATTACTAATATTACCTCCGTTAACGTTGTTTATTATTTACCTAAATACAGCAGACAAAGTGCTTTTGCTTATGCAAAAATGAAATTTCGCCATTCTGTGAACTCGATAGCAAACCTGCAGAACTTGATTGACGTCTGGTCCTCTACCATTCAGAACAAAAATTTGTTATTTTCTTCTTCGCTTCTGAAAACAAAATACCACAATATGAGCCTTATATGCTCTTGCACGGACATATTTTGATTTCACCAGCAATAATTTTGTAGTCGCCATCTTAACCTTAATTAATATATTTTGAAACTTCACTTTCAAAATCAAATTCAGGTTTTTTTCTTTCAGATCGTCTCCTTTTGAGATTTAGTTCTGTAACGTAAATAATTACCATTGCACCAGCACCATAAAGAGACATGGCCATCTGAAAATAAGTTACTTGTAGTGGGTCCTTTGTAATTAAAAGACGCTGAATTTGTAAAGATATTTTCATTGATGAAATTGTGATTGCCATAAAATTGTATTGGCCTTCAACAATAAAATAAATTAAAATGAGAGTAAAAATATAAATATTCATTTATAACTTTATACTTCACTCTCGAAAACACATTTTCCCACGCATTAGTTAATTCTCTTCAGATACAGAACATTAACTTTTTTTCATTCGAATATTGAACCTTCATTTGCAGAAGCTATTCATTTCTCGCCACTCTCACTTCTCACCACTCAAAAATACATCTAACTTCCCGCAAATTCAGTAAGTTCCATATTTCCTTGAACAACAAAATAATGATTTCGTATAAATTTGTGAATAAAAATTCCATTGTGTTAAATTATTGTTTCATTCGAGACTGTCTGTAAAAAAGCTCATTTGTACTGTTGTACGGCAAGAGATTTGTTCACTACAGGACGATTCTGATAAAAGCGTAATGAATTTTCCATGACTCACTGTCATCAACGTATCTCCATGTAACTGCAGCTCACGAAGAACCATGGAGCTTGGAATTATATTAAAAGTTCGTGACTTAGTGTTGGTTAACCTGTTGCAGATCTCATTTGTCAGCGCATACAGCGCTTTTACTTGTACTACAAACCACTTCTTTATCTAGCTAAGAAACAATCTACTATCCGTAAGCTTCATAGCAAAGGTTCCTGACCAAAATGTATGGAGTTAGCTTCCAATACATTCAAAACATGTTCTTATCAATTGATATTTTATTTGGAATTATTTATATAAATTTTAATTGAAGAATATATTAAAGAGCTGTTTGAGGGTACTTCACACTCGTTTCTGAAAATAATTGAAGCAGTATATTTTAGAGACAGTCCCACTTGCATCTCGCCACTTACAAAATCCCCTTCATTCTTTCATATACCTATCTTTTGATTTTAATGGAAACATGTCAACAGCCGCCACTCTTGCTTCTAATATATCTTCCATTTCAAGATCCATTAAATCGATATAACAGGACATTCTCGTTACCATTAAAGAAAACACAGGAAAAACCAACAAATAGCGGCCATGCTAGCAGAACAAACTAATGAGTGATAACCACACATCGTTTCATTTCATTATTTAATTACTGGAAAAAATGCATAAACTAGTGGTGCTTCAGAAAGACACATACTTTCTCATACTAGTTACTTTTCTAATTTCTTTGGCCTAGACTAGCTTTTCGTTTTTCCTCGTCCTCCACCCTGCTGCCATCTATTGGCGCCAGGTCTACATTTTTTCACATTTTCTAATATTTTCGGTCCCCTAAAGGTAGAACTCATATATGTATTTAAGAATATTACATACAAGTTAAACCTCGTCCTATATAGACATTTTAGGTGGAAAAATCGGCTCCTTTTTAAACGTTTCTGTGAATGCGAAATCTGAAGATCTCGTTCACAGAAAACAATATTTTTGAAGAAACATCACTGAAAATGATTTGAAGTACTCTGACTCACAGATAAAATAATCTACACAAAATGCTGGAAATGAGAATATTAACGGCATTAGAGATATTAAAAACAAATGTGTAATTTTTGAAACAACAAAACAAAGTTAATGAAAGTGTCAGGGTTTTAATTTATTTTTTTAAATTCATCCAAATTTGGACCGTTTTCGAGAAAATTGCGTTTGATCGTCTCTAAAAATCGTGACAATTGACAGGTATCGTGACAATTGACAGGCATTTTATTACAAGGGTGTAACAGAGTCATTTCACCGACTCCGGGCACGAAAGGAAATCGGATGAGATAAAAATATGATTGGGGCAGATGAATTGGTACGGCAGAAGTAAAAAGACATTACGCTTTATTTATTTGAAGAATATTTAAATGTTGCGTGTACTAAATAATACTAGTCTTCGTTATTGAAGCAATCACTTTAACCAGATACTAGGAAGCATGACCAATAGAAAATGTCCACACTAATGAGAAGGAGCATAATGTTTATGGGTAAGCGACTCCTCCAATACATTCTGTGCGTCAAGCAAAATACTCAATTAAATGCGTCTTGTTGGGTTTTCTCAACTATCTGTACGTATAAATATTCGAAGATAAAGGGTTGAAATTGAAGGATAACGGTAGAACTCGACAAATCAATGACAATTTATACATGCAAATCAAATTTTATCGTGACTTAAATCGAATTGTATCTTATGGTAATGAGTATCTTATGGTACTCGTAATGGCATCTTATGGTAAGTCCAGAATGTAAATATGAACTGGTCTTGCATAGCCTGTGTCTAGTCACTCTTTAGCAGCTAGTTTCAACTTCAACATGAAAATATTCAGTCATTTTAAAGTGAAAATTTTAACGCAAATGAGAATATGTAGAGAAAATAGCAATGAGAACTAATAAATGACGCATCGTAAGTTAACAAATCATAATTAACTGGGATCATTTTTTCATTATTGAGGATTTCTTAGAAAATAATTTTCCTTGTCTTAATAGTAATTGTATACTCATTAGACAATTCGTCGTAAGGGTTGACTATTAAAGCGTCTTTCACGGAACTACATAGCATTCATAATAAATAATCTTAAATTATATGAATTAAAACTAAAAAAAGAATGAATCTGTGTAAAGGCAATTTTTTTAATGATTGGTTAAGTTACAGAAGTTTCAATCTGGAGATGGACTCACATGAGAAAAGTCTATGCACTTCGTATATTACTAATTTGTTTCAAAAGCCGAAGCATCATCTCACCAAACATGACGAAAAAGGACTATTATTCTTTGAGCATTATTTATTCTCTGATCGAGAGCCTTCCGGCCATAACTGTGCCACCTGAAGCGGACTTCGTGCATTTCCGCTCCGCAGCGGAGAAGCCAGCGCTCGGGAAGAGCGGCGACAGAGGGCGCGCTTGTACCTCGCCCCGCTCCCCTCCCCACCCCTCCTCCCCCGCGGCCCCTCCGCTCCGGGCGCTGCTTTCCTCCCCGCCGCAACGTCCAGCTGATCTCCGCCCTCCCGCCACGTCCCGCCCGCACTGCGCGCGCGCACATGCGAGGAGGTTACAGCGTGACGTCACGGGTCGAACGACCGATGCGGCGCCTAACCCAGTGAGCTCTATTCTAACTGTACGCGCGCCGCACGCGGCGGCGGGCGGGAGGCGGAGAGAGGCGTTGGCGGCGTCGGCCTTGCAACGTTTCCGGGAGAGAGCCGCCCCCGCCCTGTCCACGGCGGCACCTCCCTGCCTCCACGGCCGCTGGCAGCCCGATGGGTCGCCTGCGCTCGGCCCCCGAGGCTGAAGCGAGCGCTGCTCCGCGCTCTTATTTCCATGACAAACTGATTTCCCTTCGTATATGCCTAACATTTGCGCACCTGAATGGAACAACGAGATAAGATAAGGCATTCTATAATGTTGATAAATAG